AGCTCTTGATGATTAATTTATAGAGTAAAAAAAAGCGAAAAAGAATCAAATGAAAAAAGAGAAGAAACCAATGTTATTGGAATTTCTGCTTTCTTCTATATAAGTTTCTTACTTGTTGTTGTTGTTTTTCAGCTTGAAATGCTACAAAAATTCATATGTTCGGATTGTCAACTGAGTCCTTATAGATCAACGACAACAACCATAAAAATCATCGAAACACCTCATAACTGTATTCGTTCCAGGTTTCTGTTACCAATTCCATTATTTTCAGCAAGATTCTTATTGATCTTTTTTCTTTTTACTGTTCTACTTTCTACTTTGTTGTTCTTTTCTACAACATTTATTAACGACGAGAAAAAAAAAATGATGGGAATATTCATTTTTCTTTTGAGATGTGGGGGACGGAGAGAGATAATAAGGGGAGGAGGGATGACGAACAGAGGGGAAGGGGGGGTGGTAACAAAAAGGGGAGGAGGGTACTGCTGTGATGTAATCGTTTCTATAAAAAAAAAAAAACTACGGTATCGTAGGGTGCCCGGTGACATTCAGCGGCTACTAAACGCATTAATCACCCATAGCCCATCCATCAGTCAGTGTTTGTTTTGTCGCCTATACTGATCATCCAACATAATGCTACTGCTACTGCTGCTGCTACTGATTCTCGATATTGAATCTTTCATTTTCAGTGAGAGAAAAAAAAAAAACGAATGAGAAGCCCGTTTATTTGGTTTTTTCAATTTTATCTATTTGCAAAAACGAAAAAAAAAAAAAAATCTGTTTCCTCTTATTTTTTGCTTTTTTTTTTCCAGTTTGCATTTTTTCTCAAAATCAAACAAAAAAAATTTTAATTTTTTTTCTATCAACTAGTTTTTTACACTCGTTAGTTTAACCAAACTACTAATTGATATTCCTACAAATGCTAATCTATTCATCTGTTTCCACTTGTTTCGTCACTTCTGTTCAACAGCTAAATTATTGCTAAAAGACCGTTTTTGCTGAACATAATTTTGGTTTACTGTAATGTCGCCAAAACTTGATAAATTCTTT